GTTTGGTCTATGCGGCCGCATAGACCTAAACCGAAAAAGTTTGGGGGACTTTGTGTTGCACTATGCGACCGCATAGTGCAACACTATGCGGTCGCATAGTGTTGTGGTCACGGGTTTTAACCCGTGACCACACCTCATTTCCCCAACCTCCCCCTCTCTTAATCATACACAACTCCACACTCTACTCCACACCCACTTCACCCATTCCATTACATACACTCCACATTTGCAAACCCGTGATGACACCTCATTTCCCCAACCTCCCCCTCTCTTAATCATACACAACTCCACACTCTACTCCACACCCACTTCACCCATTCCATTACATACACTCCACATTTGCACATCACACACTTAGCTTACACTACACCCATTGTACACTAATCATTCAATTGATTGGATATACATATTTAGTGAAACAAATCAAGAATCCAAAAGTTGTCAAGCTAAGGTATGTCTTCTAATTCCAAAAATTTCGAGCTTTGTTTTCACATTTTCATTCAATGTGTGGAAGTAGTTAGAATGTATAATGATGTATTGGTATGGTGTTGTGAATTGGGGAAAATTTCATGATAGTGTTTTAGAAGAAATAGGAAGTAATTCACATTGCTCACCACATGTTCGACGAAATGCCACATTGACGCATGTTTTGAATTCTTGAACTTTTCACTTATGCAATAGTTTACATCGTTATTGTGTAGCTTATTTGCCGAACAATCATGTGAAATTTCATTTGAAAAACACTACCTCAACATTTAAGTTCACATAAGCACTTCATGGCTCAACATATCCACTCACGTCACTACTTTCGTCCCCATATTCTCTTATGCAAACGACCTCCGATTAAGGTGAAATTTGGATATATGCTAGATGTCATTGAGTACTTTCACATGTCCAAAGCTTGCCCGAGAAAATTTCAATATTTCTCGATGATGCCCGGGGCTGAAGATAGTCACTTGGTCATGGATCAAATTTTCTAAAAATGCATGTTAGAGCCATAATTTTGAGTAGTCATAATTTTGAGTTTTCCATACTTATGCAATGTTAGAGTTATATTGATGTTCATGTTTTGAAAAATTGCATAATCACACGTACATGTGCATGTTGAAGAAAGTTTGGGGGATTTTGATTTCAAAGGTTAATCATACTCGTTTTTCCTACACTAAGTGATTGATATTTTGTATTTACTTTTGCAGGATGCCACCTAAAAGAACTTTGAAAGGAAAAGAGAAAGTTGACTCCTCATCTGGAACAGCCCGAACAAGAGAGCACGAAGAGGGTGTTAGAAGATTTCTATCATCAGATAAAGCATCCCGATACGCCAATGTTGTGCGTGATTGGGCAATCATTCCCGAGAGGCCAGTTAAGCTAGAAGATTTTCCCAACTTTGAAATAACATATCTGATTCACAACTGTGGCTGGGAAAAGGTGATAGAAAGACCTCATCCGGTGTATGAAAATCTGGCAAAGGAGTTTTATGCAAATTTCAACACAGAACTCGACACTCCCGGATTGGAGCACTTATATCAAACATGGGTTAGGGGCAAATGGATTATGTTTTCACCAGAGGTAATTCATGACTACTATCAGTTATCCTGGAATAATGTGGTCCCTATCCCAGAAGACTTCAACTGGAATGAGGTTGCAGAAATATTGTTGGGACGTGAAAATGCTTGGCCTCTACCTACAGCAGACTGGCATCAGATAGATCTCACCCCATCCATAGCAATTTTATGGTTATTCATGTGCCATAACAAGACCGAGCGAGATTGAAGCACCAACAGAAATTAGAAAACGCATGACGACGACAGCAATTGAATGAGGAAGGTCAAGCAGATGCAGACCTTGATATGCCTCAAATTCCTCCACCACCACCCCAGGTTGATATGGACAATCAGGTCTTGAGGCAGATATTCGCCACCACCACTGGAACTAGCCGGGACATACAACATCTCCAGCAAAGTTTCGAGACCATGGCTACCACTGTTGACAAAGTGCAGAGAGACCTCTACTCTTCCCGGGACTACACAAGGGGTGCTTTGAGTGAAGCCACAGCGGCACGAAGGGAAGTGGAGACCATGAATGGTAGGTTCAACATGTATGCTGGGAGAATGGATGGCATACAGTGGCGAGTGAACGAAACCTGGGATCAATTGGGAAGTATGGAGAATAGGCTTCAATCCATTCAGGCCGGGCCAACATATTTCATTCATGTGGGGGATTGTTGGAAAAAATGGTTAATGGGTCAACTTTGAGCCCAAATTTCAGTGAGACCCACCTTTTAATTAATACGGGACCTAGCATATTCACGTTCTACTCCGCGAGATGATTAACGTGATATATTTATTTATCGAAAATCATTTAAAATTGAATGAAATATTAAGTGTTAAAGTAACCCACATAAACTAAGGATTATGGAAGAATTTGATTTTCCAACACTTATCCCACATAGGAAAGTTAGGAAACTTTGGTGTGGTTTATAAGGTGGAAGTTTGGAATTGGGTTTGGGTCCCAAGGGGTACCAATAATCTTTGGAAGGGGGAAGACCTATATCCTATTGGGTTCGGTCATAAACCCACACGCCGCCGCCGCCGCCGCCGTCTGTCCGACCGGCCGACCGGCTTGGCACGGCACGAGCACGTGCCCGTGTCCGAGTCCGAGTCCGAGTCCGAGTCCGAGTCCGAGTCGGTGCGGGTGCGGGTGCGGGTGCGAGTGGACCTTTACACTATATTAACTTTTTGGACAAAATTTATTTGAAGTTTTGGGCCAAATTGTAAATAATCAAATTCTTGGGTATAATATGAATTTTAAATTTTGGCTTATTCCGGGTGTTTTATTTTCTTTTAACAGTCGACTGTTTCGACTGTTTACCAACCAAACAGTCAACTGTTAGCCGACTGTTAACCGACTTAACAGACACGACTTTTAAGAACAGCATATCTGTTCGGATTTTTGAGGCTTGTTTGAAAGGTGATGACTGTTCGAATGGCCACGAACAAGTCTATAAATAGCCAGACTTTCTACCAGAAAATTTATACCATTTTCATTGCAAACTTTCTGTGCTTTGAATCTCATTTCCCTCTCTCTCGTTCTGATATTGTCTCGAAGTAAAACACACTTCGTTGAGTTCGTTGGAACTCCTGCAGACTGCAGTGCTGCTTCCGTAGGAGACGAAAATTTGTTCTATCCTGGGAAACGATTGCTGGACGCCTTTAGCACCATTAAAGGCAGCAAATTCGTTTTAAGGAAACATTGTGAAGTCGGTGGGCCCGAATTACAATTTTGAATCTTATTGATCAATTCTTGTATTTAGGTGATTCTGTCGGATTGTTTTCGAAGGAATAACTTCAAACTTCAGAAACAACACCAACTCATCATATTGCATGAGATCCAGCACTCTCTCTCTCTCTCTCTCTCTCACGTGCTTGGGCACCACATGCATCAATGCAACCTTAGAATCAAGAAATCTGAAGTTGCCAAGGGTTTAAGTTTGAACTGCAGTAATTATTTTAACAAAAGATGAGAGGGCTAGAAATAGATTTTTAGTGACAAAAAAGTGTGCTTGTATGATTTACGTCAAATAACAGCTCAAAATTGGATTTTATCCTTCCATTGTTAGGCGCTTAGATTTCAATTCTTGAAGAAAAAACACGAGGAAGAGAATTAGTTGAAGATGCAATGCATTGAACTCCTCTTATATATTTCAACATTTCATACGGCTGCATAGTTGGCGTCATAATAGACCAAGTCAATGGACAAATAAGATTACTAGATATTAATGAGTAAACAAACATAAGCAACTAAAAAATATCATAATATCGTAGTCTAGACATAGCAGTTAAGCCAACGCTATAGTAGACAGCAGAAGAGTTAAGAAAGCTAGCCCTACCTTTTATATTATTTCACTCATTTTCACGTGCCAAATAACAATGGGATGGGGAAGGTAAACGTGGTGGCTTTGGTGCTGGAGGTTACTGAGATATAGTCGGTGCATTTGAACTTTGAAGATATACAGACAATAGGATATGGACCAGAAACAGTAGTGGATATAGAATTGCTAGCTGGTGATGTGGGAGCAGAGGCGGAGGCAGTGGGATACAGCCCAGCAGTGTCCCCCAGCCCATATAAATATCTAAGAATAAATTTTAGGGACAAAATCACAAATACCTTACATATATATAAATATTCACTTTTTACTACTTGACTAAAATAAAAATGGGAACTACTACATCACTAGAAAAGAAAACCACAATTACTATAATCAAAACCTTCCATATTTTCACTCGTAACTAAAAATAATAATGCATATTAGAAACGGATGGACTTAATTGAGAAGGCTGAAAACGTGAGAATTCAAATTCAAATCATGAAATTGATGATGAGATAAGAGCATCATTGATGGCAATGACGAATCCAAAATTGCTT